AATAAAAAATAAAAGATACCCCCTTACATACTCCCTAATATGTGATTTATGCCACTAAGCCAAAAGAAAAGGGACTTGGTGAGTACCGTCATTCTCATAAAATGAAATACTATAATTGCTAATAAAACCTTCCAGATTTCCAGACCTACTATTCCAAACTCTGTAGACCGCAGATCTGCATGCCCTTGATTTAGAACCCATTTACACTAACACTAGCTGTTGGCTTTCAGATGTCAAAACACATATAACACAATTTGGATCAGCATAATTTGTATATCCAGTATGTATCATACAATAGATGTTGATAAGAACTGGTATTCGTGCTTCACTTTATTGTATTATGTGATATTGTAGAATCAAATTTCTACGTAAATGTAGAAGCTACCTCCCTATCCTCTGCTCCTTTCTATTCCTGTATTTCACCTTTTCCCTACCAAGTATCCCAATAATGTTGAAAGTCTGGGGAAGTAAAATTTTGTTACGCAATTGACAAGGAATTTTGTTTTTGTGATAATCAACTTTCTGTAAGAAACATGACTACATAAAAGATTGATTTATGATTTGCTTACTTTATGATAAATGAAAAACATCAGCAGGTACACAGATGATTCTTCTCATGCATTCTCTTCTGTCTAGGATTTCAGTTTTATTCTATGTTGAAAGTGTTTTGTCCTCCATTATGGAGCAGTGTGTGAATTTCTGAGCTTCTGAAAAGTTAACATTAGAATAGACTCAAAGCAATTACAGTGCATTTTCAGAAATCACTAACAGTTCACTGTTTAAATGAAAAATATCACAGGTCTACTGTGGACAAGATAGTGGTATGGAAACTTTAGGACGGCTATGTTACCTTTTTTGATGTGGTCTATCTGTGATGTGCCCCACTCAATTTCAGATAGAGATTTACAAATGAAAAATCTTGAAAATGTTTGTCATGCAATTGCCACTATTGTGGGTTTATTTTTTTAATCCCTACTTGAGGGCCTTTTTTCAGAGAGATAAAGAGAGAAACAGTGATTGGTTGACCTGGGATCAAACCTGCAGTCTGGGTATGTGCTCTGACAGGGAATCAAACCCACAAACATTCAGTCTTATGGGACGATGCTCCAACCAACTGAGCCCCACTGGCCAGGGAGCCACTGTTTTGCTTTTGCACTGGATCCACATGTCAGAATGGGAATGGAGGCAAATTTGGGAGGTGCAGTTATTTCTCATGCTCCCTGAACTTCAGTTGCTCAGAGTCCTCCTCTTACCTATACCTATGTCTAAGGTAAGGTGGAATGCCTTCATTAGGTAACTGCCACCTTTCAGCCTTTCTTTCACTCTGAAGTTGTTTGTTAGGTTTTCTTACCAAAGTAGAGCTCTTTTGATCCACTGAAGATTACAGAAAACAGTGATCCTAGATAAGAGTTTTTATGATAAGACTGCCAAAAAATTAAAATCTCACGTGGTTTTCTTAGATACTGTCATTTACTAAATGCTCTCCATGAGTTTACTGTAATATTGTACCCTTTAACCTCTGTTGTTCTCTTTGCTCTCTATCTCATTCATGTGTTAGATATTAGATACCTACTAGTGTTAGATATTTTTAGAAGAGTAATGATGCACTCCTTAGTTTCCTTTTAGCTAAGAAAGATGGTCTAGTGATAAGAGGGCTCTAACCAGGTTGCCTGCCAGACTAAATAACTTAGAGATAGCTCCCTATTAGTTTTTCTGACCCTCATTTCATTCTCAACTAAAACAACCAGTAATTCTTGTTCCTAAAGTATTTTGAGGCATTGAGATAAAATTTGTCAGTAGGTATGTTATATCTCTAGGGATTTTTGTAAAAAATGTGATAGACCTCTAGATAAGCTGTATCACTTAGTTATTAAACTTTTTATACTTCTAAAAAGAGATTATGCCTTCTTGCCCAGCAACAAACAGAACATGCTTTGTGGATGCTGAGCAGATACAGGGCATATTTTAGCTCTATCAGTAAAATCTTTTCACCCTGGAATATTTCACCCTGGAACACAAGTTAGTCTTGAAAAACACAGTAACTTTCTTAGCATTAAACAACATGTTGTGAATTGAGGGTTGGTCTTTCTTTGCTTATACCCTCTGACAGTCCACCTCCTGGTTAGGCAACTAGGAGAACCATGACTTGTCCTGATGTAGTAAGGTGTACAATATTTGAATTTGTCAGTGTCACACCTCTTTAGAATCAACTTTCCAGGAACAGCTCTTTGATGATAACTAAAACCCAGACTCATGAGATAGAATGAATTCTTAGAAATGAGCAATTTTTTTACTCTGCACAATTAGTTTCAAACCTTAGCAAATCTCTCTTGACATAGCCCTTTAGGGTTCATTTTTCTCAAGCAACTTGTTGTTTTCTTCTATTTTAAGTAATGCCCCTGCAGCACATGAGAGATGCTGTTTAGTATTTCTATTTTTGTTACTTCTTAACTATCAGTAATAACATTGAATAGCTCACTTTTTGTAAAGGTATTTTTATTTATCTATAGTGAAAACTGAATTTAGAAATCATTACTTTTCCAGATAAAAGGAATAACAAAGGAGGATATTAGTTTAGATAGTGATTAACTATGACATTAATTATTAAGAAATGTATTTGAAATATTTATAATTCCTCTAAATGAAAGTGTTTTTCACCAGACAGCTTTGGATATTTCCTGTGTTGTGGCCCATCTGGGGCTAACCTGCCAAGGAATTCACAGCTCAGTGTGGAGAACCTCTAACAGGCATCAAGTAGCCTCTAAATGATTGCAAGTTGCTCCAAAATATACATTTCTAAAAAGTAAAAAAGTCTCCTTCAAAAAATATATACAGTTCTCATGTTTACTCTTTTTAAAAAATAATTTTTCTAGTGTGGTCTTAATCATTTCTAATGTTTTCATGCCTTCCTGAAGACCAGTATTTACATTTGGCAGCACTTTCTTCAGCATTTTTTATGGTACAAGTGTTTGGGTGAAAAATTCATGCATTTACATTTTTCTGAAATATATTTCTCTCATCTTTGTTCTTGAAAGATTTTTGTCACTGAATGTAGGGTTCTGAATAAACAGATATATATTTTTGCATTTTAAAGAAATTTCCCCCCTGACTTCTGGCCTTTATTGTTTCTGAAAAAAATCAAAGTATTCACATTGTTCTCTTGAATATAATGCTTTGGGTTTGTTTTTGGTTTTTTTTTGCTACTTTGACAGTTTCTCCTTTTTTCAGTTTTAGTATTATAAAAATGTTACACAGCAGTGTATAAGTTTAAGATGTACAGCATAATGACTTCACTTACATATATTGTGAAATGATTATCACAATATGTTTAGTTAAAGAGTTTCTCTGTAGTTTTCAGCAGTTTTACTATGGTGTTCCTAGACATACTTTTTTCACATATATCCTGCTTGGGATTCACTGAGTTCTTTGAATATATAGATTAATGTCTTTTATCAGATTTAAGAAATCTTCAATTATTTTTTCTTCAAAGATATTGAATGATTTAATCTCTCCTATTTATGTCATTCTAGTTAGTTTACCTCTGTTCTTCAGATTGGATAAATTTATATTGTTCTCTTTAAGTTCTCCTTTTATTGTATCATTTTTTATTCTACTGTTAGATTCATCCAATTACTCTTATTTCAAATATCTTCAAATATTGTATTTTTCAGGTTTAGAATTTTCATTTGTTTTTTTTTAATTTTCTAATTCTCAACTAAGATTTTTTATCTTTTCATTCAGTATAAGCATATTTCTTTTATATCATTGAGATAATTATAATAACTGCTTTAACTCCTTTTCTGCCAAATGCCATATCTGGTTGATTTCAAGTTTGGCCTCTGTTGATCATCCTTTTCTCTTGAAAATGAATCTCATCCTAGTTCTTTGTATGTCAAGTAATGTCAAGTAATTTTCCTGAATATTGTGAATATTTTTTGAGACTTTGCATTCTCTTATGTTCTTCCAAATAATGTTGTCTTTGTTTCCCTTTGTTTTAACAGTACATTTACTTCATTAGAGTTAAGGTGAAAATTCTGTTTTAGATAGCAGTTCAAGTCTCAGTTCAGTTCTTTCAGCCTTAGCTGTGTTGTTTGAAATTTGCACTGTGCTTTTGTGGTTCATGGGTCATGCAAAAATTTAAACAGATCTTTTACACAGAATTTGAATTTCTCTGTCTTTGGCTATCTCCTTTCTGAGATTTCCCTCCTCACTTTCAAGTGGCTGTGGTGTTACCCTGAACTCTCTCTTGTTAATTTCTTTAGGTTATAAAGACTGTGGCTTTTCTATTAAAAATTTAGCCAACCTGTGAGGTTCTAACTGTGGTCTGCTTCAGACTACTTAAAAGGCCCTTAAAAACTGGAAGACCCACACCCTTATTCCAAATGTCATCTCCTCCTCAGAATATGCCTACTATTGTTCACTCTCCACTACCATTCAATGGTTAAGGGTTTGGTTTGGTTCAGTTTTTTGTTTCATTCTTAAATATAGTTATTACCTATGGAAGGTGTGATCTGATAAAAGCTCACTCCTGACTGCTCATTTTTGATGTAACTTCTAAACCTGCAAAAGTGTTATTAAGAGTTCTGTTGAATACAACACTAAGGGGAGAGGGAAGAGGATGGAAAGCAGTGAAATGAAGGGATAATACATAGGGAGGTGAAAATGGCAGAATGCTTAAGGAAAAGTACAGATATTCATGTCAGTAAGAGGTGAAAGGTCTTTCATAGCCAGCGGTACTTTCTAATATGGGAAGGATCCAAGAATCAACAATTCCAGAGCTCTGGGTATGGAAAGAAAGGAAGCCTTATATATGACAGAGTGTACAAGATCTACTTTGTTCTGTTGAGGTGATTTTAACCACAACATGCCCCTTTACCTTTTCCTTAAAAGTACTCTGAAATTTTATGTCAAAAAACCTTCTTTATCTTATCCTTAACTCTGTTCATTTTTCCAACATTTTAAAGGCTGTCCTACCTAAAAATTATGCCTTTCAACCTTAGGAAATTCGCAACATACATAATGATGAATTAATGGGAATCAGGAGAGAAGAAGAAATGGAGATGTCTGATGATGAAATAGAAGAAACAACAGAAACAAAAGAAACTGAGGAATCAGGTAAAGATCATTCTGCTTTGTTTTATTTAAATAACATCTACTTGCAGGGATAATATTTAAAAACTGTTAACACCCAGTAAGTGATGGGCACTACCCCATCAGACTGGAACTTCTGAAAAACAATTGGTGAGGCCATTTAAGTAAAAACTGGCTGAATATCAACCCTGTATAGGATTTTCTGTACAGGTTTGTCTCCATTTAGCCCTCATATTCTATCATAGTATCTAATTAAAACTGGACTTTCTTTTCTAGGAGCACTGGGCATTTAGGAACCATCGTTATATATATGGTTTGGATTTATTCATAGTACATTCTATAGTAGAAACCATAAGAGAGCTTATGCATAAATAGGTAACTAGCAAAACTTTTGGAAAAATAGTTGTATCCCTACATCACTTATGCCCAACACCAAAATTAATAACAGATGAATTTGAAATTCAAATGTAATACATATAGCAAAAGAAATTATGGAAAATATGGGAACTGGTTATTTAATTTAAAATGAAGGTCTCCAAAGATAGAAATCATTAAAATATTTTGATTACTTTATATGCATAAAATATAAGTATTTCTCTTTAGGAATCTATGTTCATCAGGGATATTGACCTATAATTTTCTTTCTTTGTAGTATCTTTATCTAGTTTTAGTTCTTTAGTTCTCATTTTATCTAAAATGAGCTTGAAAGTTTTCCCTCCTCTTGAATATTTTGGAATAGTTTGAGAAGCATAGGTGTTAGTTCTTATTTGAATGTTTTGTAAAATTCACTTGTGAAGCCACCAAGTCCAGGGCTTTTGTACCTTGGGAGTTTGTTAATTACTGCTTCATTTTCACTAGTCGTAATGTGTCTATTCAGGTTCTCTAATTCCTCCTGATTCAGTTTTACAAGATTGTTTATTTCTAGGAATTTACCCATTTCTTCCAAATTGTCCAATTTGTTGGCATATAACTGTAATATTTTCTGAAAATCCTTTGTATTTCTTTGGTGTCAGTTGTTACTTAACATTTCTTTTTTTTATTGTATTATATTGTTGTTCAAGTACAGTTGTCTTTATTTTCTCCCCACCACTCTCCCCTGCCCCACTGACCCCCCCTCCCACCCTCAATCTTGCCCCCCTTTGGCTTTCTCCATGGGCCCTTTATACATGTTCCTTGATGACCCTTTCCTTACTTTCCCCATTATCTCCCTCCCCCACCCCTCTGGTTTCTGTCAGTTTGTTCTCTTTCTTGTCATATCTTTTTATTGTTGTTCAATTACAGTTGTTTTCATTTTCCCTGCACCACTTACCCTCCACCCCAGCCATCCCCACTTCCCCTCCTTGATCCTATCTGCTTTGGTTTTGTCCATGTGTCCTTTATACATGTTCCTGAAAAATATGTCCCTTTCCCCCCCATCATCCCTTCTCACCACTTCTCTGGTTGTTGTCAGTTTGCTCTTTATTTCAATGTCTCAGTTATATTTTTCTCATTTGTTTGTTTTGTTGACTAGGTTCCACTTAAAGGTGAGATCATATGGTATTTGTCTTTCACTGCCTGGCTTATTTCACTTAGCATAATGCTCTCCAGTTCCATCCGTGCTGTGACAAAGGGTAGGAGCTCTTTATTTCTGCTGTGTAGTATTCCATTGTGTAAATATACCATTGTTTTTTTTTTATTTCTTATTTTCTGTATTTGGGTTCTCTCTCTTTTTTCATGAGTCTAGTTAAAGGTTTCTCAATATTATTTATATTTTCAAAGAACCAGCTCTTGGTTTCATTGATCTTTGTATTGTTTTATTAGGCTCTATTTCATTTATTTCTGCTCTGATCGTTATTATTTCTTTCCTTCTACTTACTTTTGTTTGTTGTTCTTTTTCAAGTCACTTTAAGTATAAAGTTAGATTGTTTATTTGAGATTTTTCTTGTCCTTTTTTTGAGATGAGCCTGTAATGCTGTGAATTTCCCTCTAACAACAGCTTTCCCAGAGTCCCATAGAATTTGGATGTTATGTTCTCATTTTCATTCGTTTCAAGGTAACTCTTGATTTCTTTCTTGACCTCATTCTTAACCCACTCATTGTTTAGTAACATGTTATTTAGCCTCTGTGTCTTGTCTTTCAGATTTTTTCCTTGTTTTTGATATCTAATTTCATACCATTATGGTCAAGAAGATGTTTGTAATTAATTCAATATTCTTAAATTTATTGACCTTGTTTTGTGTCCTAACATGTGGTCTTACCATAGAAAATGTTTTATGAGCCTTGAAAAGAATGTATATTTTGCTGCTTTGGGGTGAAATGCTCTGAAGATACCAATTAAGTTAATCTGATCAAGTGTGGTTTTCCTTGTTTCCTTGTTGGTTTTCTGTCTGTAAGATCTATCCATTGATGTCAGTGGGCTGTTAAAATCCCCTATGATGACTGTATTTCTGTTGATCTCTGCCTTTATGGTGATCAAGATTTGCTTTGTTGTTGATTCTGTGTTGTCTCCATAAATGTTTACAAGGGTTATATCCTCTTGTTGGATTCTTCCTTCTTTCATTGTATAGTGTACCATTTTGTCTCTTAATATAGTCTTTGTTTTAAATTTTATTTTGTCAGATATAACTATAGCGACCCCAGCATTATATTTCTCTTTCCATTCACATGAAATATCTTTTTCCATCCGTTCACATTTCGTCTGTGTGTATCTTTTGTTCTGAGGTGGGTCTCTTGTAGACAGCATATATGTGGGCCTTGTGTTCCTATTCATTCAGCTGCCTTTTGTATTTTGATTGGAGCATGTAACCAGTTAACATTTAAGGTTATTGTTGGATAGGTACTTATTTATTGCCATTCTATTTTTTATACCTATGTTCTCTCTCTCTAATTCTCCTCCTCCTCCTTCTCCTTCCTCTTTTTCTTCTTCTTTTCCTCCTTCTCCTCTCCCTCCTCCTCCTTTCTTCTTTTTTCTTTTCCCTTTATCTGCTGCAGTACTGGTTTGATATTAACAAACTCATTTAGCTTTCTTTTGTCTGGGAAGCTCCTAATTTCTCCTCTGACATTAAATGATAGCTTTGCTGGGTAAAGTAGCTTTGGTTGTAGGTCTTTGTTTTCCTCACCTTGAATATTGAACACCACTCCCTTCTTGCCTAAATGTTTCTGATGAGTAATCAGATACCAGTCTAATTGGTGAACCCTTGTAGGTAACTACCTACCTCTATCTTATGGCTTTTAGAATTCTCTCCTTGTCTTTAAGCCTTGTCATTTTAATTATGATGTTCCTTTGTGTAGACTTCTACATGTCCAACTTGATTGAGACTTTCTTTTTTTAATTTAATTATTTTTCAAGTACAGTTTTCTGTCTTTTACTCCCATCCCAGCCCAGCCCCAGTACTCCCCACCTCCCTCCCACTTCCACCCCCCCTTAGTTGTTGTCTATGTGTCCTTTATACTAGTTCCCGTAAATCCTTCCAATTTTTCCCCTGAAATTCCCTCCACTCTCCCCTCTGGTCACTGTACCCCTGTTCTCTATTTCAGTTTCCCTGTTTTTATTTTGGTTGTTTGTTTGATTTGTTGTTTAGCCTCCTGTTAAAGGTGAGATCATACGGTATTTGTCTCTCAACACCTGGCTTAGTTCACTCAGCATAATGCTTTCCAGTTACATTCATGCTGTTGCAAAGGGTAGGAGCTCCTTCTTTCTTTCTGCTGCATAGAATTCCATTGTGTAAATGTACCATAATTTTTTGATCCATTCGTTTATTGACAGGCACCTAGGTTGCTTCCAGCTCTTGGCTATTGTAAATTATGCTGCTATGAACATTGGGGTGCATAGGTTATTTTGGATTGGTGTTTTGGGATTCTTAGGATATAATCCCAGGAGTGGAATTGTTGGGTCAAAAGGCAGGTCAATTTTTATTTTTCTGAGAAAATTCCATACTGTTTTCCATAATGGTTGTACCAGTCTGCAATCCCACCAACAGTGAATGAACTAGGGTCCCCTTTTCCCTACAACCTCTCCAACATTTGTTGTTTGTTGCATTGTTTATGATAGCCATCCTGACTGGTGTAAAGTGGTATCTCATTGTGGTTCTAATTTGCATCTCTCTGATAGCTAGTGATATTGAGCATCTTTTCATGTGTCTGTGGATCTTTGTATGTCCTCCTTGGAGAACTGTCCATTCAAGTCCTTTGCCCATTCGTTAATTGGGTTGCTTGTCTTCTTAGAGTGGAGTCATGTAAGTTCTTTGTATATTTTGGAGATTAAACCCCTGTCTGAGGTATTATGGACAAATATGTTTTCCCATATAGTTGGTTGTTTTTTTATTTTAATGCTGTTTTCTTTAGCCATGCCGAAGCTTTTTATTTTGATGAGATCCCATTTGTTTATTCTTTCCTTTATGTCCCTTGCTCTGAGGACATATCAGTAAAAATGTTGCTGCATGAAATATCTGAGATATTCCTGCCAATGTTCTCCTCTAGGACTTTAATGCTGTCACAGATTATATTTAAATCTTTTATCCACCTTGAATTTATTTTGGTGTATGTTGTAAGTTGGTGATCGAGTTTCATTTTTGTGCACATAGCTGTCCAGTTCTCCCAACACCATTTGTTGAAGAGGCTATTTTTACTCCATTTTATGTTACTGCCCCCTTTTTCAAATATTAATTGGCCATAGAGATTTGGGTTTCTTTTTGAGATCTCTGTTCTTTTTTTTTTATTTTATTTAGTTATTTTTCAACTACAGTTTTTTGTCTATTTTTCCCATCCCAGCCTCCCCCGCCCCTTGCTCCCCACCTCCCTCCCATTTCCACCCCCCTTAGTTCTCGTCCCTGTGTCCTTCCTATTTGTTCCTCCAAATTTCTCCCCCTTTATCCCCTTAACTTCCCTTCCCTCTCCCCTCTGATCACTGTCCCCTTGTTCTCTATTTCAGTGTTTTGGGGGTTTTTTTTTCTGCTTGCTTGCTTGTTTTGTTGTTTAGCTTCCTGTTAAAGGTGAGATCATATGGTATTTGTCTTTCAGCACCTGGCCTATTTCACTCAGCATAA